TCCCATGTATTTCTTTTTAAGATCTTCCAGCTTATAATACGTATTGTCTTGGCAGTTTGTCATCTCATCCCTAATTCCACCAGCTTTGTTGTATGGTATTTCTTACAGAGGAGCTTGCCTTAGCACATATTTTTGAATTGGTAGACAAAATATTTTCATTATTTTCATCTGCTCTGTGTCATCATCTTTTTGGCACAAATTCTTCATTCATTCATAATGATGCAACTCTCAACCTCACTTTTATAGATTTTTGTCTCTGTGATTATTTCTCATCTGGAGTAAATCAGGATCTGTACGAAGGTCTTCTCGGTGATGAGGACCAGGTGAATTAGTGGCTGCAGAGCTCAAAGGCTCTCTTTTCCATTTCTGCAAAGAAATGGAGCTTTCTGCAAGCCTGTGGAATTTTCACATAGGCTTCCTGTCTGATTCTACAGAAACAGGGTGTAGGGGTTGGGTGGTTTCTCCATTTCCCAATTAAAAATGCCTCTTGACCCTCACTTACATGAGGCTGTGTGAGTCTTCTGCGCAGAGTGTCCTGCTAGCTTTTAAGAAGCCCATTTTCAAGATGTATTCTAAGATTTGCAGAGGGAGCCACTGAGATCTCTTTTACTTACACTGTATTTGTGACCCTTACACAAACATGATTATTTTTCCACAGCCTTCTCAGGAACTTGAATACCTTTTCCAAGTACTTGATGAAGCTGGAAGGTACACTTCTACCCTCTTCTCACTGGTTTTTGATGGGTTTTTGGGACAGAAACAGGGTCTGTGTTGTGTGGCCGTGTCTTTCTAGCTCTCGTCTTTGCTTTGTTTTGTCCCTTTCTCCCTGTGCCCTGCCAGCTGTGCAGTGTGGAAGCTCCAGGAAGCCAGGGTGAGGTGGGTACGGTCCCAAGGTCTGATAGCTTTCTCCTTTACAAACTCGAGTGCCCACGGGACGTGCACAGCATTGATTCTGACCACTATGACTTTGGAAGCTTTCTGAAGTAGAACTTTAGGTAACATCTGAGCATGATTCTCACTGGCCCTTTGTGAGACGGAAGTCACTGGGAGAATAGATTCAGCAGCTGTTCACCCATGGACTTTTAGAAACAGAGAAGTTCATGAACAAACAACCTTTTTCATCCCCAGATAGCTGCAGTGTGAGTTACTTTCCACTTTACAAGTTCCCAGAACTTTAGCTTTGTGGCAGTCGTGTTGCTCTGGGAGGACAGCTGGCATTTGTTGGGTGTGCAGATAAACATATTTATGGCTTCCTGTTTGTAGTCTTCTACCTACTCTGAATGCTACACATGTGATGATTAAAAAGTCACAGAAAATTACCCTGCTCTGCGCACACAGTGGAGGCCTGGACAAGTTGTCCGCACTTAACTTTACCATGGTCGTCAACTGGGTTTGCCAAGCTCCCAGCAGGTGTGTTCAGCAGAGAAATGAATGAAACAGAGTTTAATTTCCTTTTCTTTCTTTTTAAAAAACTCATCCATGTAGTCACATAAGAAATTCAATAGCAGCTGGTGGAAATAGTGAATGCGGAGCTCCTGTGTGCACTCAGCAGCACGGGTTGGCTCCCTCCCCATGCAGGTCTGGTCCCAGAGTGGGGACAGGAAGACTCAGCCTCTGCTGTGACAGGGCCACCAGTGTCCCGAGCAGGTGGCCATGGCGGTGAGTGCTCTGAGGAGGCATCGGTCCAGGGGGCCCTCGTGGTCCTCTCAGTGGGGATACGGGATCCTCCCTGTCTCCAGGGATGGCCTCAACCTCAGCAGAGGTTCCTGGACTCCTACCCAGAAGGCCCCAGGCATGTGGGTCTCCCGACCTCTCTCTCCATGGCCTCCCCGCTTCACACCACTGCCATCCTCTGTCCGGTAGTCTTGTTAAAAAACGAGACACCTGCTGTCATCTCAGCACTCTGGGAGCTGAGGCAAGGGGATCACAAGCTTGCGGCCAGCCTGGGCAGCTTAGCCACTGAGCCAGACCCTGTCTGAAAATGAAAGAAATAAAGAAAACGCTGAGGATGTTGCTCATTGTGAAGGTCCTGGCTTCAGTCCCAAGTACTGAAAAAGAAACAGCAAAATGCAAAAGGATTGTCTGTAATCCCAACACTTGAGAGGATGAGGCAGGAGGATTGCTGCGAGTTAGAGACCAACCTGGGCTACAAAGTGAGCTCAAGGCCAGCCTGAACTGCATTGCTAAACGCTGTCTCAAAAAAAAAAAGAAAAATCGTATACCTGAAGATGTCATCTCACGGTTTCCCTCTCCTCTTCAAATCCTTCTGTGGTATCTCCCTGTTTGTTTGCTAAAATCCAGGGCTTACCCTGTGTGCACAAATCCCTGCAGGGCCTGGGCCCAGCCCACGCTCTGACGGCTTGCTGTCCTGCCGGTCCTCAGGCCTGGGCTGCTCCGGACTGAGTTGCATCTGACCCTGCACCTCCCCTCCTGCCTGGAGCCTGCAGACACCGCTCAACTTGTCTCCTTGTTTCTGCTCTCTGCTCAGATGCTTCTTCCAGCTGCCTTGCCTGAACCCTGTCTGAGCGGCACCCTTCTCGCATCCTTTGCTTCAATCGCTGCTTCCCCTCACCTTGCCCGTCCCCGCCGACCTCGGAACACCTCTGGGTTGATGGGCTTGCTTTGCCCCACCCCTGTTCTAGAGTGGATCGGGGCCTTTGTGGGACCTTGATCTGTTTCATTCACTTGTGTCTCGTAGACCCAGTAATGTGGCTCCAAACTTTGGTTGGTCTCAATGATGAATAAAATAATTTGTTGAGTGTTCTCACTTGAGAACGGGTAGAGGCGACAGTTTAGAGGAGGGGACTGAGAGAGTGCCTTGCAGTGGGTGGAAAGGTGAGAAGAGGTTGCTCAGAAGCCCAGAGCAGTGTGAGGTGGAGGAGGAGGAGGAGAAGGAAGAGTAGGAGGAGGAGGGAATGGTCAGCGTGGCCCTTGTCCTGTGTGGCTGTGATGTGCAGAGGAGCATAGCGGACAGCTTCCTATTGCACCTAAGTGTGTGCCTGTCATTGCACCCTGGCTATATATTAGAAGTAGAGCCGGTCTGAGTGGGCTGAAAAGTGAGTGTGGGAGAAGCAGACATGGAGATGTTCGCTTGCCAATTTGCACATATTCTATGGATGGTGAGCTACAATCCCTGGCGTCACTGACAAGGAAGTTCATAGTCCTGGTTGCATGGGGACAGCGTCATCTTAGTTCATGGCCAGATTCCTTCCTCTCAGCTGATCTGCATATGGCAGGGGGCAGAGGACTTGGGTTGGGGTCTGGAGGACCCTGAACCAGCTGTGTCCACTGTGTGGGTCTCCTTCTGGCTGCCAGGACAGCAGTCAAAGCCACCATGCTAAGGTCATAGGCTTCTGAGGTGCATGCTAACCTTGAAGGAAAATACTGAAAAGTTCCCACTGGTGCTGTATCCACCAAGTGCCCGACTTTGACGGAATCATGTTGCTGACCAAACTGTACCCTTCCAGATTCCTGAACAACGTGGGATTCTTTTTTCCGCTGATAATGATGTTGACTTGGATGGTGTCCGTGGCCAGCATGGTCCGAAAGCTGGTGTACGAGCGGGAGATCCAGATAGAAGAGGTAAAGGGCCTTCCCTGGCTGGCGAATGAAGGGTGGGCTGAGGACCTGGGAAATGCAGCCTGGGCAGTGACCCAGCCAGGCCTTTCTGTCCTGCTCCCTGCCCTCTGCTGGGCTCCCGGGTGTGGTGGTCTCCCTGAGTTCCTGGCTAAGTTGCACAAAGCCCAGAAAAACGTAACACAGGCTTTTCACCTTAAGTGAAGAATGAGAGTGGGTAAAGGTGCCTGGGAAAGACGGGACTGCCCACAGATTCCTGCAGAAGGGTGGAGCCAGGTGACCACAGGTGTTGTTTACCTGCCAAGCATTTATTACCAGTTTTGTAAGCCATGCAGAGGGCTGTGTTACTGTGTTGCGTGTTACTTACCTTCTCGCAGTCTGTCCGCTCAGGGATGGCTGCATTTTCCCCCTGCTTAGTTGGAGCCTGCGGGTCCCGCTGTGGTCTCCCTATTACCACCAGCCTGCTGACCACCAGGTGTGTGCCTAAGAGTTTTCCTTTTTGGGGGTGATGGTGGTGCAGTGCTAGGGACCGAGCTCAGGCCTGTGCACTGAGCTACACTACCATCTATTCTTTATTTTTCAATTTGAGAGTGGGTCTCCCGAAGTCGCTGAGCTGCTCAGGCTGGACTTAAACTCGAGTTCCACCTGCCTCAGCCTCCCAGAGTGCTGGGATTATAGGCAAGCACCACCACGCCCACCTCCGTTGTCCTCCTTGTTCGTGTAATGAGCCCACATCCAAAATACCACAGAGTGATGGATAAGCAGAGGGCAGAGTTAGTGGAGAACTTAATTTTATTTTTATTACTTCTAGGAGGGTTATTTTGCAAAACACAATCTTAAGCCTATCAAGCAGCCTCCAAACTGCAGACAGAGCATAAGCACCAACATTTCCCTTCTTCATCGCTTTCTTTATTAAACGAAACCATCACAAAGAAAATGAAGAACGGTGTTAAAAACTATAAATCCCAACAAACACGAAACACAGGGAGGCTGCGGCTGAGCCGGGCCTTGCCGGACCGACTCTGAGGTCTCGGCTGCCTACCGCTCCCCTTGCCTTTCACGCGTTTTTACCAGGGACATCGTCCTTATACCTCCTGTCTCCAAGATGCTGGACGACCTCCTTGGTGAGGTGCTTGTGAGAGTCCCACGCCCAGCTCTGGAGGGAAGCATCCTTCCTAGGGTGCTCAGCACCCACTTCCTCCTCCTCCTCCTCCTCCTCATGTGCCCCACTCTGATGACCCCGTTTTCCTATCTGCAGTACCTGCGAATGATGGGAGTGCACCCGGCCGTCCACTTCCTGGCCTGGTTCCTGGAGAACATGGCCATGCTGACCCTGAGCAGTGCCACCGTGGCCATCATTCTGAAAACCAGCGGCATCTTCGCACACAGCAATGCGTTCATCCTCTTCCTTTTCCTCCTGGATTTTGGGGTGTCGGCTGTCATGCTGAGTTACCTCCTGAGTGCATTTTTCAGCCAAGCTAACACTGCTGCCCTGTGCACCAGCCTGGCCTATCTCATCAGCTTTCTGCCCTACATAATCCTGCTCGTCCTGCACAACCAGCTAAGCTTGGCCATCCAGACGTTTTTGGTAAGTGGGCAGTTCTGTAAAAATGCAAAATAAAATAAAGCAGCCATCTGCATAGCAAAACAAAACCACCCCCACAACTAGTTAATTTGTCACTCTTAGCTTGATCAGGCTTTCCTGATTTTTTTTTATTCAACCAGCAAGTGCCAAGTTTTGGTTGTAGTTCACCAAAATTGCAGTGCTTCTGTGGGGTAGCTGCCCAGTAAAAGTGGGCATTTTTCATAAAACAGGTCTCTCTGGGGGCTGGGAATTTAGCTCAGCGGCACAGCACCTGCCTGGCAAGCACAAGGTCATGAGTTTGATTCCTGGTACTGGAAAAAAACCAAACCAAAGCAAACCAAAACAAAACAAAAAACAGGTCTCTCTGAGGACTTTGGGAAATCAGCGACATCCATTGGGAAGTGCGAACTCGAGTTTCTCTGTTTCATGTATGGAAAGAAATAGATTTCTACAGCTATTTTAGAAGTAAAAAATAATCATTTCCCTTGAAGCATCGTGAATTACATCACATTACGTGGAAAGATCGTTCTATTAGCAACGTTAGAATTGCTCATCCATTTAGAATGTGCCTCCCGAAAAAGAATGTGAATGTTTTTGGGTCTGCAATATAAAATACGGAGAAGGTAGAAGCTCAGTATTTTATGATTGTATGGCAGGCACAGTGCCTGACACATAGCAAGGATTTAACCAGTGTGGAAGGGGGAGAATATTGCTGTTAAGTGGATCTCTTCCCCAGCATCAGTAACCTACCTGTACACATTCTCATCAGTGAGCTCAAGCCTTCAGCTCCCGCAGCAGGTTATGGGATGACTGGTAGGAGACATAGTTGAATCACCTTGAGGAATCCTGGAGTTTGGAGTTGCTGAACCTTGGACTTAGAAGTCTTAGGCTTGGCATCCCGGGATTGCCAAGGAGTTTTAAAGGCTTTTAAAATTCCTTCGGTCCAAACAGATTTCTTGATGACCCTATTGTATCACTTACTCATTGGGAGGAGCTCATTTTTTTATACTCATTTAGGGCCCAAAAGTAAAATGCAGCTATGAAAACCACATTATTTTTATCCAACTTCAATAAGTCACTCAGTGCCATAGCCGTGGACACACAAGACATGCACGCGTGTCTTGAAGAGGAGTTGTTATACTCAGCCTTTGGTCCTCTGACAGGTGTGCATCGGGTTGAGCAGCCTATGTCCCATTTGAATGACTCACAGCCCATGATTTTGTGTTAGTATTAATTATGTGTTTTCAAATAATTAATACGCAGGCGGCCATTGAGTGCCCTTTCCTCAGTAAAGTCCTTACACATGGAGTCTTGGATGGCCTGGGCTAACTTCCAATGGTCCTTATTTTTGCCTTTACTTTAATCCTCATATTTAAAAGGTCCGTGTGTGCAGTGCTGATTTCCTTTGTGAATATTCACATGTTTTTTAGCAACTGAAAGAAAGACACGGGAACCTGGCCCGTTGTATTTTTTAAGTGTAAGATACTTTTTCACTGGCCTTTTCTTCCCTGACACGGAGTCTCTCCATTGAAGATAAAATACCCTTTTCCTCCCGGCGCTCTCTTTTTAGTGCAGCATCGGGCCCGCAGTCTGTCAGTCTGCTTGGGGTGTGCTCCGGGGCATCCAATTCATAGTAAAAAGTAGTAAATTACTCGATTCCATTTTCCACTGTTTTGTGTTACACATGTCTGTATACAATGTTTTGGATTTATGACACTTCAAGTGCCGTAGTAAAGAGAAATAATTCCCTTCAACATTTAAAGCTAGCTTCTTAGCATGCTTTTCAGAGGAGACTGACATTCTGTGAAGCCTATCTGGCTCAGATATTTAAATGACTGCCTGGAGCCATGGCTCGGCATCCTGCGAACCGGAAGGTGTGTGTCGTGAGCATTGCGGATTTTCTGTGGTCCTGCTCAAACACTAACGGGCTTTTTATCTCCTCACTCCATCAATCCATGACCAGTGCCTCCTCTCGACCACCGCCTTTGGACAAGGAGTGTTTTTCATTACGTTCCTGGAAGGACAAGAGGCAGGTGAGAGGATTCATTTTCAGAAAGCGACTCCCAGGGATTCAGGCTTTGGGAAATGTGAAGTTGGTCTGCAGTACTCAGTGAAACATTTGGAAGGAGGTCCTGGTATTTGGTTTCGCTGATGTTGCCCTGGTTTTGAAAATCATCGAGAATAATCCCTACATCCATTGCTGCTGACGGTGTCCAGGTGGTTTACCCAGCTCCTGCTTGGCTCTTGCTTATGCCACCCCAACCTTATAAATTCCTCCAAGAACGGGTGCACGCCCACTGCCTTTGGTGCTATTGCTGAGCTGGGATCTGTCTCCCTGCATCTGCTGCCCATCCTCGCTAGATCCTTCCTCCCCATGACAAACACACGCTTGTGAGCTTTTCTCCTGGACCCCAGATCCAGCCTGTGTAGAATGGAGCATGACTATCTTTTCCAATTTTCTCTATATTATATCCCTATCAATGTAGCTTAAAGTGATTTTTAAAATTGCGGGCAGAGTTTTTTACTTATATCGAGATTTTGACAATTGAACTCCCAAACAGAACAAACATATATTTCTTAAATTTTTATGTGGTTTTGGGATGTGTTTTGGTGAATATAGACAAAATATATGCCATAAGTAAAACTCAATTTTATTATTATATTAGCCAGTTAATTGGCACTGTTCCCAGAATTTATGTATAATGTGTTAAGATATCTTTAACAGATGAGTAGTCCTGACTGATTTCTTCTGTATTTCTCAGATTAAACAGTAAAGTGAACTGGATCGAGAGGATATGGAAGGAAAATTGTCACTTTCAGACCATTTAAATATTTTGGTTTAAATTCCAACAAGTGCATCATGATCAAAACATATATGCCATTGAGTTCTACCCTAGTACCCTAGGGAAATTTAGAAAGAGGAATATTTTTCCTAACTTATATTTAGGTCAAGAAATAGATTGTGAAAGTAGTCTAAGAAAATAATGATTCTTTCTTACCTTAGACAGTGTATATCTTATTTAAGTAATTTTCAAGAGCAGAAAGAATTTATAATATAGAATATGGGCTCTTGAGACATCTTTTATTTTAAAATGCTTATTTTTCTAGTATGAATTTTATGTTAATAATTGTATGAAATTAGATCTAAGTAAAGCACCTTTTAAAAATTTAAATGTGAGGTAATGTACTGTTAATTGTCACTGCACTGATACTGATGAAATTGATGTAAGATTATGCACACTAACATTTCCTCTGAAGGGTTATAACTTTGTATTGACTTCCTTGTCTTAGCTTTAGTCAGCTTTTCTTAAGCTTCTAGGACTAATAAACTTATCTCACCATTAACAGCCAAAGAGGAAGCACAGTTCTTACACTGACCTTTTCCTTCCTGCCAGGGATCCAGTGGAATAATATGTACCAGCCTCCGGAACCAGGGAGCATGACATTTGGCTGGGTTTGCTGGATGATTCTGTTTGATTCAAGCCTTTATTTTTTATGTGGATGGTACCTGAGCAACTTGATTCCTGGTAAGAACTCTGCACTTTATAAAGTAACAAAATGAACTTTGCAGATACTTTAATCCTCTATACCTGAATTTAGAATAATTGTTTATTCTTCATAGAAGACATCTGACAGGAATTCTTAGGATATATTTTAAAAGGAACTGTGATTTTTTGAGATGTTTGGTCAAGGGACAAGTGTGGCGGTTAGGGCAGAGGGTCCACTGGGTCAGCTTGGGATCTGCCTGGGTGAGCGGTGGAGCACAGTTCTGGGTGTATCTGGGTGGTTCATGGAGGTATATGGGTCTATATCTGGTCCCTCACCCTTTATCCCTGGCTCTGCTCCCTGCTCTGCTTCCCAGTCTTCATGAACTAAGTGACTTTGTTCCTCCACACCCTCACACCATGGTGTTCCTGGCTTGAAGCCTGCAAACCATGGACTAAACCCCTGAAACCCTGAGCCAAATGACGTTTCTGCTCCTTTAAGCTGAGGGTATCAGGTTTTGTGTCCTAGGATGAAAAGCTGTTTAATGCACCAAGTAAAGGGTTAGCCAGGATGAAAGCTGGCCAAGTCCACCAAACAGTACCAAATTAGTGGGCTTTTGTCAATCACACAGAAAGACTCTTGGCCCCCAAGGTCAAGTATTCAAAGGAGGTGGGCATGAGGGGAGGAGGGGCAAGACAGTCTGATGCTCATCGTGCTGTTGGCCCCCAAACAACACAGAAGCTTGGCCAAAGGTCAGCTGGTTGCAGACTCTGGAAGGAGCTAGGCAGGGTGCAAAGATGTGGAACTGGGCTAGTGATCATGAGGAGCCCCCTCCAAACCCAGGGCTGCAAGCGATGTCACAAGTAAGAGCCTTCTCCGCACGTGTGACAAATGCAGCCATAGACTGGGGGCATCACTGATGGTAGAGAATTTCCCCTGCTTGTCAGGAAGAAGCGTGCATGAACATTTGGGGTTCAAGCCAAAAAGAGCACAAATCTCATTTAAAACATTAAATGTTTAGGAGTCGAATTTTGTCGGTATTATATTATGAAATTTACTGGTGACTCTGCCTGTATACTTTCTAACCTTTAAAAAGAAGGACTGTGAAGAGAAATTCAAATTATATACAAATGAAAGTGGAAGAACAGAAGAAAAAACCCAGTTCATTCTTCTGGGGAAATGTCTTCTGGACTGGGGAAGCTCAGGCACTCTTGAAGGGTGGTGCTGTGGTTGATGTCTCGGTGCCTCCCATGAGCCTCAGGCACTCACTGGGAGCTTTGAAAGGGATTGAGTCATGGCGGCACATGGCCACATGTGATATCAGGAGGTGGGGCTGATCAGAGGAGGCAGGTCAGTGGAGTGTGACTGGAGGGGTGCATCTCTCCTCCCGGCTCCTCCTTTCTCTGGCTTCCTGGTCCCCATGAAGTGAGCAGCTCCTCTCCACACTGTCCCTGTACTACGCTGTCCTGCCTTGGAGCCAGCTAACTGTACTGAAATCGTGAGCTCAAATGACTTCTCCTCCTTTAGGTATGGCTGTGGCTGTGGGTGTTGTATCTTAGCAATGTGGAAACTGACTAAGACAACTCTGCACATAGGGAGAGAATATGGTTTTACTGAGAAGATTATTTCACAAAAATGTAGGAGAATATGACCCAAAGAGGTGGAGATCGGTTACACTTTGCATCGTGATTTATTTTGCAAAGACTTATATTGTATCATTTTGGTGCTTTGAATAAAATTTAAGAAAAGATGTAGTCTATGCGGGAGGAGGCAAGGGAAATGGCCTCTTCCACACACTGTGGGTGGAGATGGAAATGCGTTCGGCCACTGTGGAAACAAGGGTGGAGATTCCTCGGAAGACTGGAACGGAACTACCTGGCTGCTGCTCTCAGTGGGAGACACCCAAAGGAACTAAAGCAAGCAGTCTCTAGGGTTGCTGGAATGCCTATTTTTTTTGGTGATACAATTTATACAAGCCAAGATAAGGAACCAGCCTGTTGATGGATGAATGGATAAAGAAAATGTAGTATTTTATATACAAGAGAGTATTTCTCAGCTGTAAAGAAGAACAAAATTATGTCATTTGCGGGAAAATGGAGGGGATTGGAAATTACCCTATCGAGAGAAATAAGCCAGACTCAGAAAGACAAGTGTCATATGTTTCCCTGAAGTGTCACATGTGGAGTCTACAGAAAAAAAAAAGATGGCACAAAAGTAGAGGGAAACTCACATTCTTAGACAAGAGGCAGAGAATAGCGTGAGGGAGGTAATGATCACAGCAGAGGCTATGCTTGCATGAAAATACCATGTCGAAACCCAATATTCTGTGAAATTACAAGGCACTAATAAAGTATATTTAAAGCCAGGTATGGTGGCACACACCTGTAATCCCAGCACTCAGGAGGCTGAGGCAGGAGGATTGTTGCAAGTTCGAGACCAGCCTGGGCTACAGAGTGAGCTCAAGGCCAGCCTGAACTGCATAGCGAGACCCTGCCTCAGAAAGACAAAAAAAAGTATATTTAAAGAATCAGAAAGATGTCTTCTCAGAAAAAGAGATTCAGGTCATCATCTAAGAGCTGAAGCTCTGGGAAGCTGGAGGAGGAGCACTGCGCATGAGGCAGTGATTGAGCCCCGTAAGAGCGGAGTGTTGTGGAACAGGTGTGAGACATTGACTTAAAATGAGAGGGAGCAGGGGTGGGCCAGGGAAATAGGTCTGTCCTCGGCAGGTGGGGCCCCAGCCAGGAGAAGGTGGAGGAGGAAGAGGGGGAGGAGGAGGAAGAGGAGGAGGAGGAGGAATGAGATCACCAGGATGGAGGGCGTAGGGTGGGTGGAGCTCAGGGAGCCTGCAGAGGGCTGTGGCTCCTGAGGGGAACAGCAGTCAACTGGAACAAAAACCATAAATTTAACAGTCATTTGCTGAAGAGAAGAAACCCTGGCTGTGCAGAGGAAGCAACCACCGGGCTGCATGCAGCATTAGGAGAAACCCGTGTCTAGTTATACAAGGGCGGTGTGGACAGGAGCCAGGAGAGATGTGTTGAGCAACCTGGGTGATCTGAGCACCCTCTGCCATCGGGACCCGAGGCGTGAGGAGCCTGGGTGATGCTTTCCTACAAAGCTCTTGGTGCTCTGTGGGGTTTCCCTCCAAATCCTGCCAAAACCCTACTGCAGTAGATCTAAATCCCGTGTGAGCAAACTCCATGCCCAGCAAGAGCGAGAGGGGTCAGGGCGGAGTGGAACCACCTTCACCCAACCTTCTGGGTGCTCCCAGGGCAAGGAGCCCTGGGAGAACGAGGCTCAGGAAGAAGGGAGACGCAGAGGGGAGGCGAGAAAGAGAGAGGACAGAGGCAGACAGAGAGACAGAGACAGAGACAGAGACAGACAGGAAAAAGACGGACCAGAGACAGCTGTCCCCGCTCTCCAACTCCGCATCCTTTTGCAGCTTGACTGGGCTGCATTTGAGCAAAAGGAAGCAGTGACCAGTGCTGGGAGGGGAGAGGGCTCTGGGTCTGTCACCAGGACCACAGGGAGTGCTGTTCTCCAAGATGGTGCAATCCTGCGCTTGCCTTTGGGGAGACAGGACGCTGTGGAGGAGGGTGGAGAAGGGCTAAGACCACACTGGGAATCAGGGTCACCAAAATGCTGGGCCCTGGGGAAGCTGCTCCTGGCACCCTGTGCACACTCAACAAGTCAGGGAGGTGCCTAGGGGCCTGGCTGACCATTGAGCACAAAGCTCCAGCCACAGGAAAAGGAACAGCACAAATAAGACAAGTAGAGATACCACAAAGAGGAGATAAAACCACTCTTCTCTATAAGAGAATCAACTGAAAAACTGTGTGAGCAATCACAGGACTAACCAGAGTTACACAAAGTTAGGAACATCACTACCCACCGGCAAAGAACACAGAATAGCAGGCATGAAAGTCCACTCTCATAGCTATAAAGTACACAGCGTGAATCCAATGTGCAGGAGAATGTATGTCCAATAAAAACAGAAATGTTAAAGGTCTACTTTGGAGTGGGATAAATGAAAAGCTGTTGATTCCTGAACAGGGATATTCGTTATTTTAAGTATGTCAGTTTTCTTCAGATTAAAGTACAAATTTCTGCAGTTTTAAATTATGTAATGGCTAATCTGTAACATTATGTTTCTGTTCTATAATGGAACTTACATAAATCATTTAAATAAAAGTGCCAGAGGGAGGAATTTGTTTTTAATTGATGAAATGTTTATGAAGGATAGCTAGAAATATAAGTTAGTGATAATGAAAGTGTTGAGGATAACAGTGGAGAATGTGGTGACTGGTGACTTACCCAAAATCTTACCACAAATTGACATGGTGGAGTTCTGAAAGAAAATCTGGAAGAGTGGGACAGATTAGAAAGTTCAGTACCCAAACCAAGTGCATGCAATTTACTGGGTTAATACTGGCATTTTTATTCAATGGGACAGGATGCATTATTCTTGAATCTGTCAGGGAGAAAACAGTTAAACTCGTATCCATAAATTCAGTGGAAATAAGTAGTATTAAAATAATGAAAAGGGCTGGGAGTATAGCTCAGTGTTGAGTGTTTGTCTACTGTACATAAAGCCCTAGGTTCAATTCCCAGACTGCCATCAAAGAAAAAAAGAAATCACACTAAAAATAATGGAGAGTTAGGGAAAGTATAATTTTAGAAATAGATACGGCCTTTCTAAACATAATGCCGCAGACATAAATATAAAAATATTAATTTAAATCACTATTTCAAAATATCCAAATAAGTGATATTACAGGATACTTTAGAAGCTTATGAAATGTTATTAGTTATAGGGACAGAAAGGTAAAATTTAAATCAAATTTAAAGAGGACATATTTCAATGGAAATATCAGCAATGACTTCAAAAGAAAAGTTCATGTTTGGTGGATTTATTAGAAGTCTCAGTGCTTTACAAGAACATAGACATGAATGTGCATAAAAGAAAACTTTTCCTTCTCTGGCCTGAAAATATGATAGAAAGCAGGTATAATCAGTGTAGAAATATATAGGAGGGAGGAAGAAT